GCAACTGCCTTGAGAGGTCGGCGCTGCCGCCGGGGACGACGCCGTACCAGCTGCTCACCGGGAAGAAGCCCGACTTGTCGCTGGCACGCGTGTGGGGCTGCATGGCGCAGTTCCTCGTCCCCAAGCAGCAGCGTGGTGGGAAGTTGAGGCCGAAGGCCCGGTGGGGCCTTCATCTCGGCGTGTCGGAGGAGAGCAAAGGCTGGGAGCTTCGTCGACATCGCCGACAACCGGGTGGTCACCTCGTCGGACGTGGTGTTCTACGAGGACATGTCGCTGGAGGTGTGGAAGTCGGAGCACGGGCCGGTGTCAGGACGGACGCCGACCACCCCGCCAACCGACACCTCGACGGCGACGCTACCTCTGCTCACCGAGGTCGGTGAGCTTGCTGATGAGGACGCCGAGGTCGTCCGTCCTCCTACCCTTGCCCCTCCCCTCGTGGCCGACGTGCGCGGGCTGACTCCGGTGTCGGCCTCCGGCGATGAGGGGAGTAGTGGGACGTCGCCTTCGGCGCCGGCCAAGAGCATCGCCGGTGGCCGACGTGACGAGCAGCAAGTCGACGTGGGAGTGAAGTCGATGTTGATAGGGGAGAAGCAGGTCGAGCAGGCAGTAGTGAAGCCGACCACGGAGTAGTCGGCAACCAGGCAGTCCATGGGGGAGACGTCGGCTGGGACGCTGACCGAGGTGCAGCAGGACGACGAGGGCAGCGAGGCCGGTGACGATGGAGGGGAGCAGTCGGGCGCCGAGGAGTCCACCGACAGTGATGTGGTGGAGGTCCAGGCTGGACCACGGCGTACAGGCCGACTTCGGAGGCCTCCCGACTTCTTCGTCCCGGCTGCCTTCACCACGGTGTATGACGTGGTCGACGAGGACGACGACCTGCTGTACGACGACGCCGAGGAGGACGAAGACTTGCCTGACCTCGACCCCGACATGCACGCCGACCCCGAGCACCGCTGGGACATCTCAACGATGACGGTGAAGGAGGCGCTGGCAAGCTGGAAGGGTCCGGCGGTGAAGGCCGCCATGGAGGAGGAGATCCGCAGCCTCATCGGCATGGGGACGTGGGAGCTGGTCGAACGCCCGCCGGGAGTGAACATCATGAAGAACCGGTGGGTGCTGACGACGAAGTACCGCATCGACGACACCGTCGAGCGCGAGAAGGCAAGGTCGGTCGTGAAGGGCTTCACGCAGGTGTATGGCGCCGACTACGACGAGACGTACGCGCCGGTGAGCAGCTACGTCACGCTGAGGATCTTCCTCAGCATCGTCGCCGTCCTCGACCTCAACCTGATGCAGCTCGACATGAAAAACGCCTTCCTGCAAAGCAAGCTTGGTCGGGTGTTGTACATGTACCAGCCGGACTACTTCAACGACGGGTCCGGCCGGGTGTGCAAGCTACTGAAGAGCCTCTACGGGCTGAAGCAGTCACCGCTGCTGTGGTACAAGGCTCTCAACGACGTGTTGGTCGGCGCCGGGTGGAAGAAGAGCCAAGTCGACGAGGCCCTGTACATCAAGGTCGGTGACGACAAGGTGACCTGCTGGGTGCTGGTCTACGTCGACGACCTGCTCGCCGCCAGCAGCAGTACCGAGATGCTGAAGGAGCTGAAGGAGCTGCTGGAGGTCGCCTTTGAGCTGCGGGAGATCTCGCCAGTGCAGAAGTACCTCGGGCTGGAGATCGTGCGCGACAGGTCGGCGGGGAAGCTGTGGCTGCATCAGCAGGGCTACGCCGACAAGCTGCGTAGGCGCTTCCTCGACCAGGAGCAGACCGGGCGCACCCCGAAGACGCCGGTTTCGGTCGACGCCTATGCCGAGCTCACCTTCGACGACGAGGAGGCGCAGGAGCGCCAGGAGGAGGAGTACCGGCAGAAGGTCGGCTCGCTGCAGTTCGCGGCGACGACGATGAGGCCGGACATCGCCTTCGCCTGCAGCAAGCTGGGAAGCGGCCTCACGGTGAGGAGCGACCAACACTGGTGTGAGGTTGACCGCTGCCTTGCCTACCTCGCCAACACGCGTGACACCACCCTGGAGTTTGGCAGTGGACCTGAGTCGCTGAAACTGGTCGGCTACGTGGACGCCGATGACGCCGGCGACAAGCAGAACCGGACGAGCACGGGCGGCTACGTGTTCGTCTTCGGAGGGGCCGCAGTCTCCTGGTCGAGCCAGCGCATCAAGTGCGCGACGCTGTCGTCGACCGAGTCAGAGTACGTGGCGGCCGTCGAAGCCGGCAAGGAGGGACGCCGCCTCTGTTTCCTTCTTGCAGAGTTCCGGCAGCTGGACGCCGGGAAGCCGACTGTCCTCCGGGTGGACAACAAGTCGGCCATCACAGTCGCCGAGGGCATGGGGTTGACGGGCAACCTCAAGCACATGGAGCGGCGACAGGCCTGGCTGCAGCATATGGTGAAGCGCGGGAAGTTTGCGTTGAGGTACATCCCGACCACCGAGCAGCCAGCCGACTTCCTGACGAAGGCGCTGCACTACCCGGCCTTCAACCAGTGTTTTGTCGCGATCGGCCAAGTGCGCCTGGCCGAAGTCGGCGACGGCGACAACGACGTGCAGCAGTAGGTGCCATGCCCTTTTGCATGGCTGGTGCGGTGGATGACGTGCTGTGTGTTGGGTGCACGTCGACGAGCTTTTCTCCGAGAAGTACTGCCGTGTGGGCTGGGGGCCCAAGCGTGAACGCGGCAGGGGAGTGTCAACGGGAGTTGTGTGTTGGCCCCGTCCTCGCTTGGGCGGAGCCGACTTCGTGGTCGGGTGTAGGGGTGCAGCCGACCTGCAGCAGTGGGCGAGCTGGTCGACGAGGAAGTCGACCTGCACGGGTGCCACTGCATGGGCGCCGACTTCAGGATGGCGCCGACTTCAGGGAGGTCGACCTGGGAAGTCGACCTGCGGAGGGCGTCGACTTGGTGACGCCAACTCGGGGCAGCCGACTTGGGTGGTGGGCTGACAGGACCGCTGGTCGACCTGGTGGTTGGTCGACCAGGCCTGCTGGTCGACTTTATGGATGGTCGACCAGGCGTGATGTCGATCTGGTGGTCGACCGAACATGTGGTCGACAAAGGAGGGGCCGACGTCGACCTCGACAGAGGGATTCAGGACGCCGAGTAGCAGGGCGTCAACTTGGTGACGCCGACTTCGGGTAGCCGACTTTGGGGTCGGCTGACAACTGTGCTGGTCGACGAGGAGCTGGTCGACCAGGAGTGACGTCGACCTGGAGCTGGTCGACCAGGAGCGACGTCGACCTCAAGCTGGTCGACGAAGAGTGTGGTCGACGTGACAAGGTCAATTGGAAGTGGTCATCGACCTGGGTGGTCGGCGGGCACGCGCAGGAGCAGCTGGTCGACGTGGTTGCCAGGTTGACCAGGTTTCCAGGGTGACGAGGTTCTGCGAAAGCACGCGACGGTCGCCCGGGCGACGTTGGCAAGGACGACCTCGATGGTGGTATCCCGAGATCGACGTGGCCGATCAGAAGCAGTCGTCAGCACGAAGTTGACTTGGTGTGTGCGCTGTGCAGGTGACGAGGCACTGCACGCCAATCATCAGTGAGCACCTGCGAAGCAGGTGCGCTGCTGTCCTGCGGGAGCAACGTTGGCACGCCGTCAACCTGCGACGTTGGCACACCGTCGACTTGCAGCATTGGCAAGCCGCGACTCTGCACTGCTGGAGCGCGGTCGACCAAGTCGTGCTGGCATGCGGTCGACCGTGCTGCGCTGGCAGTAGACTTGCTTGCATGCTAGCTCTGATGTAGTCTAGTCTTGCCAACTTCATTGTACCATTGTTGTCAACTTTTCTTAGTGAAACTCTTGCCAAATTGCCCCGTGAACTAGCAAGCAGTGTGTGCACTAGGAAAACGACTAAGGAACAACGAACGCAGAGATCACACGAGCACCCGTGCCTAACCCGTAGTCTAGCTCCCGTTGTAGTAGTTATCTCCGCAGTCGCTAGGGCGGTCGGCGGCTTTCTGGAAGCCGATGTCTTTGCCGATGACATATCATACAGCTCCAACAGGACGGCCGAGCGGACGAGAAGGGCAAGCCTGTGCCGTCGTCGGTACAAGCTGTTGCTCGAGGACCGGCACGGCATGGGAGACACCGAATTTAGAGACCTCTTCCGGGTTAATCGGGACATTCTGGAATACATCGTCAACGACATGCAGTACTACATGCAGCCGTATGTGGGGAGGTAATACCTCACCCACGAGATCGCTAGTTTGGTAGCTATAAAGTACCTTGCGACTGGAACGTCGTACGTGGACCTCGCTCACCTTTTTGGCCTGTCGAAGACCCTATGTCATGCGCTCGTGGACGTGTGGCTCATGCATTTTCTGTCGGTCTTCAAGCAACAGTGGGTCCTCTTCCCGACCCGTGAGGACCTTGACGAGATGACCGACGAATTCTGCGCTGTCAAAGGAGTACCTGCTGTGGTGGGGGCTTTAGATGGGACGCACATACACATAAAAGGCATGGAAGGGCATACACAAGAGTACTACACAAGGAAGTCAGCTTACGCCGCGCAATTGCAGTTGACTTGTGATGTGCGCAGCATCATATGGGACTACCTAATCGGATACACCGGGAGTGCACACGATCAACGGGTGTTCATGAACAGTGCGTTACACGAGAGGTTGCACAGCGGCGACATAGCGCCTTATCGAATCGTGGAAGATGCTACCTACCCACTCAAAGATTTCTACCTGACCCCACTACATGCACCCCGAGAGGGCCTAATGGAAGACTGGGAGCAGTGCTTTAACTACTGCCGGAGCGCAATGCGCATGGCAGTAGAGCGCTGCATCGGCGCCTTCAAAGGTAGATGTCGTCTATTCGCGGGCCACAACGACTGCAAGCTGTGGCACGTGCTTGCAGGGGCGACTTGTTGCGTTATCCTGCACAACATGTGCGAGAAAATGGGGCAGGTGAGGCGCGTCAACACAGTGTGGGCTAACCTGCCACGAAACCGGGACCCATGGTGGAAACGTGGCGTTGTTGCCGACTTCAAGTACCTTACTCGGCGTAGCCGCGAACCCACACCTCCTCGTTCGCATCCGGGTTAGCAGCGGCGTCGCCAGACTGCGCGCGACGGAACCATCCGTCGTCGCCGCCTTTGGCGGCGTTCGTAGCGGGCTGGGTATCAGCATCCGCGGGGACGTCGTTGCGCGTCGTCGGAGCTGCTGCCGTCTGCTGCAGGCGTTTGTGAACAATCCGCTCGTCCTGCTGCATCCAGGCGTGGACGAGGCCTTCGAGCCTGGTCATCGCATCCGCGTGGCATCCCTTGATGGTCTTACAGACCAGCTTTGCGGCGGCCATGGTGGCTGTCTCTGCAACCCGCAGGCGCTTGGAAGGAGGACTGCACTACGGAGGGGGGGCTGGACAGGCAAGAAAATAGAGTAGAGTGTTTATTGCGCCATGTGCATGTGTTAAGAATAGTTGTGTAGCCCGCGATGTGTAATACAGACCACATCAACGATCCGGAAACAAATAATAGGTTGGAACTCACCCGTGAACGTTGTAGTAGACGGCAGGGAGCGGACGTACACGGCACCGCGAACCTGGCCGGCACATTCACATGTCTCGCACCACCGCCGTCCACGGCATGCGGGTTGGCGACGGCCCGGTTGTTCTGGAAGAGCTCCATGTACGGGAACCAGTGTGGCTTCGCCACCGCACCCTTGCCAGACGCCTTCTCCCCCTTCTTGAGCTTCTTGTAGATGCAAACGAGGTTGCGCCACTGCTTCTGCACCGCGTTCACGCCGCGGACCCACCCCAGGTTCTCCTTCTCGATTTGACTGACGAGGTGCACCCAATACTCCGAGCCTTGCTTCTTGAGGAGAGGCTCGAGCTCGTCCTTCATGAACCAGCGCGCAGCCACGAAGGTTGTGTTCTCAAGCTGCGCCCAGTCGCTACGCTTCACCAGGATGTGGTTGCGGGTCTTCGGAGCGCGGTGAGTTTGTTCGCCACCCTTGGCGGCACTCTTGACGGCGGAAGCATGCTTTACACGGCCGCAACGAGTAGTCAGAGCCTCGGGCTGCGTTTCCTCCAGGGCCTCATCGCCGTCTCCCTTGGCGTCGTCACCATCAGCGTCATCTTCGGACTCGGACATACCCTTGTCCTCCTCCTCTCCCGAGTCCGCCTCATCGTCGGTGCCCTCGGCGTACTCTTTGAAATCGCTGTCGTCATCATCACTACCATACGCGTTATCGTCGACGACGCGCGAAGATGCAACCCTGTCCGCGTCACGGCATCCGCGCGTCGGGACATCACGTGGGGCTTGGTAGGAGGTGGCTCTCGGGGAAGGTGTTAATCCACACGATATTCGGGATCTCGTTGAGATCCCGCGGGCACTCGGTCGCAGTGTCGGCTGTTGTCTTGCGCTTACGAGCCATGGCTACGGAAGGGTGGAGATCTTGAGAAACGGGAAACAAGATCAGAGACAAAATCTTGGGTCGGAAGGAGAAGAGATTGGGGAGGGAGAGATGACATCAGGGTCGGGAAGGTGAGTGGGGTTGGCGGGCAGGAATGTGCGATGGTGGGGCATGGGTACCACTTGTTTGGTTGCCCGGGCAGAGCGGTTTCTTTTCCCCCTCAAACCGGTCACCCTGTCGGGCGTCCAGATGCATGCAGTCGGGCCGGCCAAATGCTTGACATTCCGACACGTGTGCGATTTCTTGGATGTGACGGGGCCTCGTCCAACTCGTCTGCGACAATACCGCATTACACGCTGACCAATGTAAAGTATAGTAAAGGTCGCACTAGGGCGACCCGCGTTTGTGACACAATGCATTATATGTTGTTTTTACGCGTCACAAAAGGATTGAGACACAAACGTCGCCACAGGAATGTACCCTAATACAACAAAGATGGGGCTTATGCTCCGGGGACACATTGATGCAACGTGGGCAGATAACATCGATACTCTCAGATCCTCTCAGGGCTACTACTTCGGCCTTGGTGCGGGGGCGGTCTCATGGAGGTCGGCTCGCTTATCGTTGGGTGCACAATCCAGCTGTGAGGCAGAGATCTACGCTAGCGCTATGGCTGCTCAATTTCTGCTGGTTGACCTTCTTGCTTACTGACTTAGGTGGGTCACATAGCTCTACCCCGGTCCTATTCGCTGATAATAGGGCCATGATCCTCTTGTGTTCGGAGCCTAGACTAGAGGGCAGAGCATAGCACATCTAGTTGTGGTACTTCCTTCTGCATGAGCTGCAGCAGCATGGCAAGGCATGCGTAATACACTTGCACACCATTTAACTAAGATGCTCCTGCCTCGTAATCATAAGCGACTCTACACACAACTTGGCCTTGTCCCATCAGTTCCTTACGTTTTTACGATCTTGATCTCTGTACATTGTACTAAGCTTATTTTTGTTTGGTAATATTCACTGACTGGCCTTGTTGCCCTTTGTCTCAGAGACTGGGCAAGTAGTGCCGCCCTGAGTTGCTTCTCATTTGCAAGCCATTGCTCCTTACCTAGACTAGTGGGTGTGTCAACGTACACTTAAACTTTTGTTATGTGTACTTTGTAGGCTATGTTGGGTTGCTCCATGGAGGGTATGAGACGTTATTTACACCCTCTCCATGGGTCATGCCCTCATGATGCATCCTTTCAGTTGCTAATATTGCGCTGGTCCCAGTTTCCCTTCCACGGTTGCTGGGATCAGTATGATAATACTTTCTTGCCAAACCTCACCTCACCTTGACTGTTTACACATTGATTTGGCGTGCTAACTCCGTTCCGCAATTCAGGTGTTACCCTTTAACGATAATGCACTATATGTGCATACTCTTCATACATTATTGTATATATGTTCCTACGGCTTGTATATGCTACCATGTACCATGTGTGCACAGCTTGGCCGCACACTCAAAACCCGAAAAGGACCTGCCAAAAAACAGCAGTAGCAAAACAGAAGATAAGACGATATTGATTAAGATGCTCAGAGTGGGGTGGAAGAGAGGGAGAGAGAGAGAGAGAGAGAGAGAGAGAGAGAGAGAGAGAGAGAGAGAGAGAGAGAGAGAGAGAGAGAGAGAGAGAGAGAGAGAGAGAGAGAGAGAGAGAGAGAGAGAGAGAGAGAATCAAAGAGGTGAGCCCATAATCAGAAACGAAGTGGAACGAGAATTGGTGGGTTTACCATGGAGAGGGGGCCACTGGAAAGGGCATCTAGCAGAGCGTCTGGTCTCAGCCCAGCGAGGTCCGGCTGAGCTACCTGGCAGCTCTGGCAGCGGTGCTGGCAGCCTCCCTCACACCATGGCAGTCCGGCGTACGGAGCCCTGCAGAGAAAGAGACACAGGAAGAAGAGTGCAAGATGAAAGGACTCAGCTAGAAGTTTGCAAGAACAGAAAGCTTCTAGCCCCCCCAAAAAAAAAAAAAAAAAAAAAAAAAAAAAAAAAAAAAAATCACAGATGCTGTACGGCAAGTTACTGACCATTCACTGCACCTTTTTCTCTGCCCTTTTTTAACAGGAACGCCAAGAGCTGCACCTACCCCGGGGATAGGCTGTCTGCTCCCAGTAGCAAGCTCCCCCTCCACAGTGTCGGCTCGGCTGTTTCAACGCTCAGCGTTCCTGCATCCTTCGCATTAAATGCCTTTGCCTTTGCTGCAATCAGAACTGCGTGATCCTCATTTCCCTGCCAAAATTCTGGCAAATATTTTATTTTCTTTGGTGAAATCAGTGTGTTTTCTTCCACGCCCTGCCACAGGCCTGAAGACGGCCTTTTCAGCGTGCCACAGGCCAATGCTCCACCTCCTGCCAATGCTTCTGGTACATTTGATTCTGATGCCGATGCTGTTGGTACGGGTGCTGCTGGTACGGATGCTGCAGGTACGGCTGCAGCAGCTTGCAGCAGGCACGCCAAGAACTCGCTGCTGCATGCCGGTGAATGGTTGATGCGGGATGCTAACGATAAATGGTCCATCACGGAATTATCGACATTTCCTCCGTCATTTCGGACCGTCTCTTCACACGCATTTCTTGCACTCCTTGGAATTGTGTCTTCAGTGTGGCAGATTGACGTCCTGCTACAGTGAAATGCGCCGTGTGCCCCTTCTCCCCTCCGCTCGTTTGTGTTGACTTCCGTGGCAGTTCGGCTGAAGTCATGCGAAGTGATGCTTGGACTTGGTTGCTTTTCAGCTGGTGCTGGTGCTAGTGCTGCTGGTGGCGCTGCTGCGGCTGGTGCTGCTGCTTCTGGTGGTGTTGGTGTTGGTGCTGCTGGTGCTGGGGGATCTCGTAATGATGTCGTACTATGTTCAGCAGCGGAAATATTAGAAGTCTTTGGTACCTTAGATGCATCTGTGCAAAGGCCAAAAGTGCGTGATTGTTCCGGCAATGACTTGACATGATTGTTGCTCCTTAGTGCAACCTGGGGAAAAAGTACAGCATCAAAAGGAAAGAAGTAAGGAAGACATTGAGTTTCATCTGCACGCAGTACCGGGATATGAGTTTTAAGTTAATCTACCAACGCAAAAAGCAACAGAACCAAATGCTGCGACCAACAGAACAAAATCAGTCTTACCAGGAGTGCTTTCATCACTTGAGAATTCTTTATGCGGTTATGCTGGTAGTTCCTGAAGCACACAGGAATTGAGTAGCAAATCAACTAGGCGTCCGATCGTACATTCAAGAAATGCATTTGTTTGTAACATGCGTCACTTGTCGCTTGTGCGATTGCGAACATTATTTTAAGAAACCCACGGGATTGGCCAGACATGATTCGTATTCGACAGCAAATGAAATTCCTGCTGGCCGCTTCGCGACGATACCTCTTCAGAACGATAAATCGGTTGCAACACGCCTTGTTATCGCGACGCGGCAGCAGACCGGACGCTTGTAAGACTCCCCATTGGCTGGTGCCGTGTCGCGCCACGTGGGTGAGAAGAATGACGTCCTCCTGTCACGCGAGACGGCAGAGAAGAAACTACTAAGAATTGCAAAAGACAGAGTAGAAGGCTTTAGAGAAGTCGGAAAACTACGAAAATAACAAATAATTTGACTGTAAGAAATCTGTTCTGTTCACTCCAGATTGTGGCAATCGCACCGTTGCATTCCATAACGGTCCTGCTTGCCGAGCCGTTAATGTCATTTTTTTAGTACCGTCGGCCAGGTCTGTCATCTGCGAGTTGTAGGCCAATTCAAACAGCCTTGAAGACTCTACGAAGACTCTTCAAGTCGTGAAGACTCTTGATGGTTTCGGAGCTTGCCCTACGAGTATATGCTTCAACTCTCTGTCACAGAAGTGAGTACAAATATATTACTAGTAGCCAGTGATAGCTGCTTTTGGAGAATTGGTTTGGAACGAACATACATCGTGCAAGTGTTGGCTTCTATCGGCATACATTCTTGATCCTGCGCATTTGTTTTTTTACTGTATGAGGGGTGTCTCACCCATCACCTGACACGGAAGTGCCAGGCATGCTGCTGACACTGCGAGGTCGTGTTGTGTGACCATTGACACTGTACAGTGGGTCGCGCGGCTGTTTTGTGGTGGAGAGATTTCGCACAAGAGATCACACTGCCCGTTTTCTTGCCCGGAAATATCACTGCACATGCCCTCACCTCTCTGAAGTTGACAAACAACAGGTTCGTGGTGGTGTCCAAGTTCAAACCCTCGTCCCCGATGAGTGAGGGAGAGAGCGTGTGCTCATAGCCTGGGACCTTGCTTCAACTTTTTGGGGTTTTTAGTTATTTCGGAAGGGGTACTTCCGACCCTGCGCTTTCTAGGGAGCTTCATCTCTACCTGCACAGAGTTTCCCAGGTTTCGACGCCCAGGCAGAAGACTTATTGGGCTGGGACAGAACTCGGCTCCACGTTTATCCACGTGTCAGTCACTGCGCATCCCAACCACTGCTGCTGCACACAGAGAAACAGTGCGCAACCGCTTTTGTTATTTTCTGCCGAGGAAAAACCACGTTCTGGGTGGCTCGGCACCTCACTGTTTCGATATCTGGGGGAGATCATTTTCGCGCCCAAACTCCGTCCAGTAACACACGCCAGGGCGACACTGCAAACGGAAATAAACTCCGTCTAGTCCAGTGACGTCAGTTGCCGTCAAACAACGCTAATACCTCGCCATAACAGAAACGCGATTTTCCAAAATACAGTAGCAAGCCAAGAACCACGCTCGACCGCACGAGCGAAACTCACGTCCAGCCGAGCCAGACCTTTCATTTGGGGCAACCAGCCTATTTTAGTGTGTAACTTACTATGAAACCCTTATTCATATGATACTGTGGGAGACGCAGGCGACGTCGTGGAAGGGTTAGGACGTGGTGCAGAACGGGCCCAGACCCGAGACTGCCACAAAAATATCGCGATGATCTCCCCAAACAAACACTTCATCAAGGTCCTCGCGCGACCATTTTGACAGTAACAAAAATCTCAAAAAT